GGTCCATCATTTCTTGCCTTCCCATGTGCGTTTTCCCAATCGATTCCTGGGCCCGAGGTCGCAAAAATTACGACGTCGGAGGTCTGGGGAGGCGGGAAGCACGACCTGGACCTCCGACGTCTTGGAAAAATCACGACGGCGGTTTTTGTCAATTTTCGGCCTCCGGGGCCCCTCGCAGGGTCCCGGGACCGTCAGAAAACGACTCAGGATGAAAAAAAAAAACCATCCCTAGGAAGTCGTCGAGAGGTCCAGGGGCCGCGCACAGAAAACATCACGACATCGGACGTCCAGAGAGGAGGTAGGAACACGAGGAGGAGGGAGCCCTGAACTCCTGGCGACGCAACAACCAATACAAATGCTTTTTGGACGTTTTGGGCGGGGGCCGTTTCGTCGTGGTGGTGGTGCGGTTCGGGGCTTTCTTCGTTTCGGGGCCTTCCCCCGCCGCCGCAGATCGACGGTGACGATCCGAATTAGCTAGAACCTAAGCGCGCGCCAAGCGCGCGTGGTTCTAGTATATATATATATAGATTGGTATTCAAGTTGTTCTTGTATATAGCTATAGATCCCCACATCCCATACCTTCCTTCAATATATATATATATATATATATATTTATATTTGCATGCTATATAAGAATGTATATCTATCACGATGTGCTGATACCCCATTATTTTCAGCACAAGCTCTTTGAGAATACTTTCACGGTCCTACCAAACGGGACCCGGGCCAGTCCGCCCTCCTCGCCCGCCCAAAGCTTGCTGCAGGAGGGCAACAACGCCCAGATACAAGCAATAGATACTCGTCGACCCCCAGGACGACGGGTCGGGCTCCTCCCCCCAGGGCCAGTCCGCCCTCCTCGCCCGCCCAAAACAGGGGAACAAAGGAGGGGATTATTTGTGTCTGGGCGCTTTTCCTCTCCTGCAGCAAGTGATTGGGTGGGCAACAAGGAGTGACAAAGACATAAACTCGGAGGTCCACGCGGATTGCTCGGATCCGCGCCGGGGCCGCGGCGCCTCCGGCGCAGCCCTTGGCGCGCTCCGCGAGCCAGGGAGGGGGGTCCAGCGCCGATCCGAGCAATCCGCGCAGACTTCGGAGTTTTTTTATGCTTTGTCTTTCTTTGTTGCCCGCCCAGGCACAAGTCATCGTCGACCCCCAGGACGACGGGACGACGGAGTGGGAAGTGGGGGGAGTGGGGGGGACGACGAGAACCCAGAAGATATGGAGGCAGATGGGGAATCCTGGGACTTGTGTCTTTTCATTTGTGTGTGTCCCAGGGCCCTTTCAAACTTGTCTAGCTCTTTCCTCCCACCGCGCACAAAAAGTATTGCACCTTCCCGTCCTGTGTTTCCAGAGGTTTCCCGGTGTGTCTATCGGACAGACGATAGTGTTAAGTCGGGCTTGTCCCTCTACAGGAGGAATATTCAACAATAGTCGAAAATTGCACTGGTATTTGTTTTGTGCTCTTTTTGATTATTTTGGAGCATGTTTTGACTATTGTGTTTGTTTCGTCCAAATCCGCCTGTAAGGGATAGTGTGCGATGTGCCTGTCGCGCCGCCCTTCCCAGGAAAAACTCGATGTCCTCCCCCTTGCCAGCCCGACCTTCTCTTGGAGGAGGAGGCGGAGGAAGAGGAGGAGGAGGAGGAGGAGGAGGAGGAGGAGAAGGGCGCAAGGAAAGGTCGCCGAGCGCGTTTCGCTACTCGCAGAGTGCCTACTCGCAAACTTCGTAAACAAACAGGTGTCGTCCTATATTTGAGTCGGGCACGTCCCTCCACAGCATCAATATTCAAAAATAGTCCAACAATCGTATGGGGACGATGTTTTGACTCTTCTTAACAATTGTTTGTAATTCTTCACTATTTAATATTTTTCCTCCAAGCTCCGCCTGTATGGGGACATGCCCGACCTAAGCCTACTCGCAAACGTCGGAACAAATCACGTGTCATCCTGTATCTAATGGATCGTAAATCTCCCTCGGTAGATCCAGGCCATTTGTGAGTAGTTACTTCTTGAGTAGTGGGACGCGCTTGTCTAGAACGAGGGAGGGACTTCCCAGCTGAAGAGGCACCTGGGGTCTGTCATGACAGACGGCACTGCACTGGGCGACAGTGAAAATCCAGGGTCGGGACTCCGGGCTTCCGTGGATCGGGTCTTGGAGAAGACCGGTGCTTGCATCGGATCCCTGGGCCTCTCGCTCTGCCGGCGCCTTCCATGAAAGGGCATCGCCCCTCGAGGGCTGGCAGAGGGTGGTGAAAGCAGCAGTCAAGGAAGCAATCCATTGTACGCAACTCTGTAGTGCTCGGGGTTTCTGATCGGCGGCGAGCAGGCGGGGGGGGAAGTGCGAAGGAGGAATATTGATCGGAACCTGGAGCGTATACATTACCAGTGGCAGGCTGTTCTTCAATCCCAGGGCTTTTTGAAGGTCGGGGACGACGTCGCGTTGGGGTGGTGTGGTGTATAATTGTTCCCCGTTTTCTGGGGAAACCAAAAAGATACAATAGGATCCCATATACACCAGGATTCGCTTTCCTGCGCGAATTTCAGTGCAGGGCCGGAAAAAGCGTCGGTGTATAGAGCTCGGATCCCTAATCGAGGAGGCCTTTTCAGAAGGCGGCGGGGCTTCTCAGAAGCCTTCGGGCCTTCTGAAAAGTTCTCTCTGTCTTCGGGGAAGGCTCTGAGAACCTCGCAAGGCCCAAGGCCTTCCGAGCCTTCTGAGAAGGCCCGCCCCTCCTCGCTGCCCCCCAGGCATGCCGCCGATCAGAAGCCAGCCGCGATGCTTCTTTTGGCTCCAGTCGCCTGGCCCTCGAGAACGATCACGTGTAGTCGATGCTCCCCTCCTGTCCGCCGAGGGCGGGGGGCATGTCCATATCCAAGGACGCTGCCCCGCGGATGCCCTGAGTCCGCCGGTAGACGTGGGGGGTCAACCGCGCGCGAGGCTTCGCGCCGGCGAGAATCACGCCGAGGTCATGTTGTCGGGTGTGGCCCACGATCAGCGGCGAGCGAGGGGGGGAAGCGAGAAGGAGGAGGCCGTCTCAGAAGCGCGGCTGGACTTCGCAGAAGCCCTCGCGCCTCCTGAGATGTTTTTTGTTCCCCCGGGGATGACTCAGAACACTTCTCGGGAGGCCGGGGGTTCCGAGCCTTCTGAGAAGGCCTTCTTCTGCTCATTCCCCCCCCTCGCTCACCGCCAGAGGTGTTCATGGCCCAAGGTGTCCCCAAGATGCCTGGAGAGGCCCAGGTGGCGTCCAGAGCACCCCGCACGAGGCCCCGAGGGCCCCAAGGGCTTCAGCGTGGCGCGACAAGCGGGGGGCACCTGGGGCCAGGGCCACGTCAAACAGCACCCGAATCTATCCTCATGCTGACGAGCATGCGACGCTCCAGGGCTGACGAGGGTTACGTCGCATTTGCAGCGCGCGTGGCACTGCACGCGCGCTGCACGCGCAAGGTGCACACATGCAGACAACTTCACAGATGCCGCAAACACACGCACAGGCACACACACACACACTACACGCACGCGCGCGCACATCACACACGCACATACGCACATGCGCACGCGTACAATTGTTTGGAGTCGCGGCCTCGGGCGCAACGTCGATGCGCAGAAGGTCCGAGAGTGAGACGCGGGGATCACGCGGGGCTGGCCCACTCAGCAGTCAGGGGCAGGGATCCACCCGGCGAGATGCACGGCACAAACACACGCAAGTACAAACACGCGACCGTGCGTTTGCCCGCAGAGGCCACACGAGTGTGCACGCACTCACGCACGCACACTTTTTGCGTCGGCGGCCAGGCAGGGGACGTCTGCGCTGGCGACGGGATGCCTACACGGGGATGCCGTTAGAGCGAATTGTGCCACCATGCAAGAGGAGGTGCACGCACGAACAAAAAGCATGTAACAAGTGCCTTTTGGGGTGGGCGACGGCGGAATTAATGTTAAGTCGGGCACGTCCCTCTACAGGAGGAAAATTCAAAAATAGTCGAAGCAGTCTGGGAACGATGTTTCGACATTTTTTTTTATGTTTGGTATTTGACTACTTTTGATTTGTCGTCCAAAATCTGCCTGTAGGAGGACATGCCCGACCAAAAAGTAATGATGCGGTCTCGTCGTTGATAAGTCGGGCACGATTATCTGAGCATTCACTTTGCTGTTCACTGGCCCTGCGTGCCCCCTCCTCCTTCTGCACCCTCTCGGGCCCTCCGGACTCCCCCTCTCCCCTCCTCCGCCTTGCCCTGGCGCTTCCTTGCCCTTGTACCTTGTGCGCTCTCCCCCCGTCTCCCTGCTTGGCTTCCCTGCTCCGTCTCCCCGTCCCTCCGTCTGTCGGCCTGGTCTGTCCTTCCCCGTCGTCGTAGTCGTCCTCCTCCTCCTCCTCCTCCTCCTCCTCCTGCTCCTCCTCCTCCTTCTCCTCCCTCTCCCTGTAGCTCCTCGGCTCCTCGCTCTCCCGCCTGTCTCTGCTCTTTGCCCGGCCCGTGCCTTCCCTTGCCGGCCCGTCCTGTGGTCCGGATTGGAGAACGCATTCTCAGGGTTAAGTCGGGCACGTCACTCTACAGGAGGAATATTCAAAAATAGTCAACGAATAAGAGGATGTTTGGACTATCTGGAGTATTTTTGAATACTACAGGGGGTATTTTTAGATTTCGTCCAAAATCCGCCTGTAGGGAGACGCGCCCGACCTAATCTTGGGGGAACGAACAATGGCATAAACATAAAAACTCGGAGGTCCGCGCGGACTTCTCGGATCGGCGCTGGACCCCAAGCGCCCGAGGCGCCGCCAGGGGGCCCCAGCGCCGATCCGAGAAGTCCGCGCGGACCTCGTTACTCCGAGTTGGCATGTTTATGCCACTGTGTTCGTTCGCCCAAGATTAGGTCGGGCGTGTCTCCCTACAGGCGGATTTTGGACGAAGTACAAAAATAACCCCCAGTAGTATTCAAAAATACTCCAGATAGTCCAAAAATCGTCCTCAGACTATTCGTTGACTATTTTTGAATACTCCTCCTGTAGAGCGACGTGCCCGACTTATGCCATTGTGTTCGTTCCCCTGATTCTCTCCGCCTGTGCTCACGCCCACGCACCGCCCTGTGCATGGCCCGTCTCGTCTGCCCGCTGGCCCGGCTCCGCTCGCTCTGCGCCGGCGCTCGGCCTGTGCGCCGCCAGGGGGCGGCCCGCCGCGGCCAGGAATCGGCAGGCCGCGGCGCCGTCGTTTCCGTCCTCGGGGCACGCGACGCAGTGGAGGCCCACGCCAAGAAGCATCGGGCCGGACGAAAGGGGGGGACAGGGAAAGGGGGGGTTACGACATCTGCTGCATGCAGCTGGTTTCGGCCCCGCCGCCGGGCCCATTCCTCGATACATGGGCGCCGGGAGGCGCCGGGAAAATCAGCTACGTGAGCTGATTCTCAAACCCTCCCTTTGCTATCCCCCCCTCGGGGCACGCGACGCAGTTCAAGCAGTGGCGAAGCGTCCTGGCTCGCCTATAGCCCCACCAAACAATGTTCTAAGAACCTCTTGTGGTTCCCACGAAAGGTTCTTAGAACATTTCCGGCGGAGGCTGTCTTGTTTGAACACATCGGGCTAATGCTCCAAGAACCTTGTTTTTGTTCTTAAAACATTTCTGGGTTCTAAGAACATTTCGTGGTATACCATAGGACTGTAGGAATGTCGGGACGGTCGGTCCCTGCTCAATCCAGAGTGCCCTGGGCTTCTCGGGTTTCGAGGGTTTTGCGATGGTACGCGTGACGTTCCCACACCAACAGGAATCGGTGGACCCTCTGGGGTCTCAGGGTTGGGTTTCTTGTGGGAGGTGTCTCGTGGACTGGCCACCACTGTACTTCCGCCGCAGAGCCCCACTCGCCACGAAGGAAGCGGATCCTGAGGGGAACGAGTCCTGAGTCCCGAAGGGTTTGACGACTTTTCACCAATCGATTTGTGGGTATCGAGCCAGATTAATCCAGGTGAATGCAGATAAAGTCAGGCAAATGCAGATAAATCGAGGTAAATCCAGCTACATCCGAGTAACTCCAGGTAAATGCAGAGGCCTTCAGGGACAGTTCGAGCCAATTGCGGCCTCTCTAGCGCGAGTCGAAGGACGGCAGAAGTCGTTCAGCCTTTAACGACTGAGGTTTTTGTGTTTGCAGTCTTTTCCTGCCCGGAGCCCTCCCCAGGCCCTGGGAGACTGTCGAGCAGCGGCTCAGGGTGAAGAAACCAGTCCTGGGGGAAAGCCCCAGGGTCCCGGCGAGTGCCTATGATTTGTGCGCGCCCTGAAAATCTAGGCCTCCATGATGAGGTCGGAGCAGATGGGGTCGCAGGATCGCGCCGCATCGCCGATGCATCGCCGATGCATCGACGATGCGGCTCGATGTGGAGCCCGACTTCCTTCACGTCGGCGTCGCCGATGCATCGCCCACGTCGACGATGCATCGCCGGTGCATCGCCGATGCATCGCCGATGTACCTGGGATGCGGCGCGATCCCCCGACCCCCATCTACTCCGACCCCATCCAGGAGGCCTCTAGCCGACTACGGCGGAAATCAACTATTGGTGCACGCTCTTAGAATTACCCCACCCCCGTCTGAGTGGAAGCAGAGTGCCCCCTGGGGTGTAGGCCAAGGTAGTCGAAAGCGGGGCAGAGCCCCGAAGAGGGGCCATCGGACAAGGGAGGTGAAAGGCGGAGGACCAGGGCTCTCCGTGCGCGTCCATCGTCTCGATCTTCAGGGGTGATCTTCCACCTCGATCTGCAGTGCTTCCGCGTCGCGTCGCGCGCGACATTTCAGACCAGCAGATGCGAGATCGTGGGTGGCACGCGGTCGGGAAAAAGGCGTCCCTGGCATGGGCAGGGCGGTGTCTGCTCGGACGCTGTGCCCGACCCGCCTGCCTTGCGCTATCGCGCGGCTCCGTTCCTAGGATCTCGAAGGGCAGGCGGAGTCGAACAGTCGGACCGAGGTATAAGATCGGAGTTGGGGAGGGTACCCTGGTGTTCTTCGTGTTTGTTGGACGTTCTTGTGCATCCTGGGGAGGGTACCCTTGGCTGTTCTGTGTGTTTTGGCGGGCGGAGGGGCTCCTGCTCTTGAGGGATGCTCTTGTGGCCTAGGCCCGATTGTACAACATCATCTGCCTCTCCTAGGGGGCCACATGCGAACCCTACCCCCACCCCCCACGATTTCTGAGGGGGAGGGTGGGGTAGGGTTCGCATGTGGCCCCCTAAGAAACGATTCAGGCTGCAAGCGGGCCCCAGGGAAAGACTCAGGCCTTCTACTTTGGGGATCCCGCATTGGGTAGGGTTCGCATGTGGCCCCCTTATCTCCTCCTCTCTGACCTCCTCCTCCCCCTCTCCGCCCACACCACCGGGCCGCAGGGCAAAAGCAGCTGCGCGGGCACCAGTCCCCGGAGAGGTCCGCGCGGCTCTCCCGGATCGGCGTTGGGACCTCCGTGGGCTGCAGCGAGCCTCCGGCGCCGCCCCCGGTCCGGCGCCGAGCCAGGAGTTCCGCGCGGACCTCCGAGCAGTGAGTCACCCGCCAGTCGTTGGAAGCAGTATTTTTTGGGACATCCTGATCCCGATCTGAGGGGGAGAGTGGGGTTCACTACCCCCACCCCCCACGTTTTCTGCGGGGGAGGGAGGGGTTCGCTTCGTTCGGGAGCAATGAAGGGAAAGGGGGGGTTACGAAATCTGCTGCATGCAGCTGGTCTCGGCCCCGCCGCCGGGCCCATTCCTCGATACGTGGGCGCCTCCCGGCGCAGGGAGGCGCTGGGAAAATCAGCTACGTGAGCTGATTATCACCCCCCCCCTTTGCTATCCCCCCCTTTCGCCCGACCCGCGAATGCCGCGTGGACCTCCGAGCAACGAATCACCCGCCAGTCGTTGGGAGTAGTATTGAGTCGGGCCTGTCCCCCTACAGGGGGATTTTCGACGAATAATGAAAGATATTCAAAAAATAGTCCCCAGACTATTTTTGGACTATGTTTGGAGTATTTTAATTTTTCGTCGGAAATCCCCCTGTAGGGGGACACGCCCGACTTAAAAGTAGTATTTATTTGGGATATCCTGATACCGATCTGCTACAAACGCCTTCCTACCTCAGGAGTCGGTATGCGTTTGTTGTGTTTGTTGCTCTTCTGGGCGGGCCCGAACCCGATCTACTTTATCCGCCCTCCTACTTCATGCTTCCACGTACAGTCGGGCCGATGAAGAAGAAACCCTTGTCGTTTGGGAGGGGCCCTCAGTGCTCCTTCATGGTTTTGCAGGTTCCCCCCGGTTTTCCCGAGGGACGTGGAAGTTCAACTCATGGGAAGAAGGGGGCCTCGCTCCTTGCCTCGAAGAAGAACAACCTCCACACGCATAAACGGTTCGCGCTCCGCGCGGACTTCTTGGATCTGCGCTGGGCACCCCCGGCGGTGCCTCTGGCGCCGCCCCGGGCGCGCGGCGCGCGCCAGGGAGGGTTTCTGGACGCCCAAGATGGGTACGGAAAGAATGGGTACCATGCCCAGCAGCGGTTCTTGCTCATTTTGAACAGGATTCGCTGTCGGCGTCGCCGCGGACTGTTTCCATGTGAGGCAGAAGGCCGCCTGCCAAACAGCGGCCGCCGTTGGTTCGGGACAACATTTGCTGTTGGGCATTGTGCCCATTGTTTCCGTGCCCATTTTGGGCGTCCGATGTCCTGCGCAGATCCAAGAAGTCCGCGCGGAGTTTTTCCCAACCATCCTGTGGTGTTGGGTCCTCGTTTTGAAGAGACGGTGCCCCGCGTCTCTCCTCTCCTCCTCCTCCCCCTCCTCCTCCTCCTCTCATCATCAGCATCATCATCATCGTCATCGTCACCGTCATCATCAGCATCATCATCATCATCGTTCTTATCACCATCGTCGTCATCATCATCGCCGTCTCCATCATGGCCACACGTTTCGTGGACCCATAGTGAGCTCCACCGAAGGCCCCAGTGGCAAGGTCCGCATGCGGTTCCACCTCCATTTCGGCGCACCCCTCACACGTTCCGTGGCCCCATAGGGAGCTCCACCGAAGGCCCAAGTGTCAGGGTCCGCATGCGGTTCCACCTCCATTTCGGCGCACCCCTCACACGTTTCGTGGCCCCATAGGGAGCTCCACCGAAGGCCCAAGTGTCAGGGTCCGCATGCGGTTCCACCTCCATTTCGGCGCACCCCTCACACGTTTCGTGGCCCCATAGGGAGCTCCACCGAAGGCCCAAGTGTCAGGGTCCGCATGCGGTTCCACCTCCATTTCGGCGCACCCCTCACACGCTTCGTGGCCCCATAGGGAGCTCCACCTGAGGCCCAAGTGTCAGGGTCCGCATGCAGTTCCACCTCCATTTCGGCGCACCCCTCACACGTTTCGTGGCCCCATAGGGAGCTCCGCCTAAGGCCTAAGTGGCAGGGTCCGCATGCAGTTCCACTTCCATTTCGGCGCACCCCTCACACGTTTCGTGGCGTCATAGGGAGCCCCGCCTAAGGCCCAAGTGGCACGGTCCGCATGCAGTTCCACCTCCATTTCGGCACACCCCTCACACGTTTCGTGGCCCCATAGAGAGCTCCGCCTAAGGCCCAAGTGGCAGGGTCCGCATGCAGTTCCACCTCCATTTCGGCGCACCCCTCACACGTTTCGCGGCCCCATAGGGAGCTCCACTGAGGGCGCCAATGGCAGGGTCCGCATGCAGTTCCACCTCCATTTCGGCGCACCCCTCGACGTTTCGCGGCCCCACAGGGTGCTCCACCGAAGGCCCCAGTGGCAGGGTCCGCATGCAGTTCCACCTCCATTTGGCGCACCTCTCACACGCTTCGTGGCCCCATCGGGTGTTCCACCAACGACGATACTTACAACGGCGGCATTCGGAATTGCGTATGGTTGGGCCCTTCGCCAGGATATTTTTTCTCTCCTCTACTGCTTAGGGTTTTCCATCACAACGTCTCGACGGGATTCCAGGCCTCCCAGAGGGGGTCGGAGTAGACGGGGTCGGAGGATCGCGCCGCATCGCCGATGCATCGGCGATGCGGCGCGATCCTCCGACCCCATCTACTAACCAACTACGGCGAAACCAGCTGTTGGTGCACGCCCTGAGAATTACTCCACCCACGTCTGTGTGGAAGCAGAGTGCCCCCTGGGGTGGCGGTCAGGGTAGCCGAAAGCGGGGCAGAGCTCCGAAGAGGGACCATCAGACGGGGGAGGAGGAGGCGGAGGAGGAGGAGGAGGAGGGGGAGGAGGGAGGAGGAGGAGGAGGATGAGGAGGAGGAGGAGGATGAGGAGGAGGAGGAGGGGGAGGAGGAGGAGGAGGGGGAGCCTCCAATGCCGTTGTTTGGTCCTCTGTGTCCCCGCCTCCCCCCGCCGAGCGGGGCCGTCTCCGGGCCCGGGCGCCCCCGCCCCTCCGCGCCCGCCGGGCGCCACTCCGGCGTGGTGTCGCCTCCACTCAAGCAGCGGCGAAGCGTCCTGGCTCGCCTATAGCCCCACCGAGCAGTGTTCTAGGAACCTCTGGTGGTTTCCTCGAAATGTTCTTAGATCATTTCTGGTTGAGGCTGTATTGCTTTATCACATCGGATTTATGTTCTAAGAACGTTGTCTTTATTATGAGAACATCTTTTGGTTCTAAGAACACTTCGTGGTAGGACTACAGGAATGCTGGGACGGTCGGTCCCTGCTCAATCCACGGGCCCCATCGGAGGTGTCTGCTCGGGAGAGGAAGCAGAGCACTCACCACCCAACAAACCACCCCGATCCCCAACCCGAAGGCTCAGATTTACCCTCGGTTTCCCGTGGGGAGGGGTTCGGGAAACATCGACAATAACACACGTGGAACCCTTACCCCCCCGCCAACCCGAAATTCGGGTCTTCGGGTTGGGTTGGGGGTGTCAGAGCACAGCGGCGGAGCTCGAAGAAGAACAACAAACATAAACAGAAGCTTTGGGCGCTCAGCGCGGATCCAAGAGATCCGCGCGGAGCGCGAAAAGGTTATGTTTACGGCGTTGTCGTTTCTTCTTCTAAAGGCACCTTGCTTTGCCTGCAGGCCCGCCACACAACATGTTCCGAGAACCTGTTTGTGGTGAGCACGGCATGTTCTCGGGACAGTCCTGGTTGAGACCGTCCTGTGTTAACACATCTGATTCATGCTCTAAGAACATTGACTTTGTTATAAGAACAGCTTGGGGCTCTAAGAACATGTCGTGGTAGGCCTACAGGACTGCCGGGACGGTCGGTCCCTGTTCAAAAACGCACAGACACAATGAATCGTCGATCCCCTCGAAATTTCGATAAAAGATTGGACATCCTAGGATTTGTGTTCATTTATTTGTCCCTGGGCCCCTTTCTCTGTGTCCGTCTCGTGGCGATGGGAGACTTTGGTCTCCGTCAAGGCCGACAAGGCGGTCGCGGAGATCGTGGGAGTGGTCGTCGTGGGAGTGGTCGGTGGTGGTCGTTGGCGTCGTGGCAGTGGTCGTGTCGGTGGTGGTCGTCGCGGTGGTGGGCGTCGTAGTGGTGGCCGTGGTGGAAGTCGTGGCTGCGAGGGTGGTCGTGGCAACGGTCTGCTTTGCTTTTGCTGTTTCTCTACGATGCCCCTCCATGCCAGCGGCTTCGTTTCTCGCGGAGATGGGGGGGCGGAGGAACCGGGGCGGCCGCGTGGTCGGGCTGGCCTGCCGACTCCCCGGGTCTTGCTTCCACGCTGCGGTCGTGGCAGGCGGTGGCACCGCTTCTCACGGCGTCACGCCCTGCTGCCGTGACGGCGTGGGCGAGCCGTGCAGGATGGTGTGCCCGAGTTTCGAGGCTTGCTGACGGTTCGGGCGCTGTTTCATGAGACCTCCCAGGCCAGGGAGCGCACGGCGCCACGCGAGGGGGGGCGGTCATCTCTCGGAGGAGCCAGAGGTCTGGCGGTTTTCGGCGCCACCAGGTGGCGTTCGCCACACCCCGCGCTCTCCTCCTGCATCC